AGTTAAGGTCATTGAAGAGACTCTATGGCTGGAAGCAGTTCGACAATTGTCCAGACACTAGATTGGAGCACTTAACTAAGAGATGATGCATAATGATCATTGTCCACTCTACGATGTAGTTAGTGTTCACAATGTTTTGATGAAAGCACAATTGACTCGCACCAACCGATCGCCTTGTAAGACAGACAAATGATGTGAATTAAAACAACTTTTCCTAAGAAAAATACCTCAATGATAAATGGTAGTCCAGCACGGTTCGCTATTTCACTTTCCACGGCGGCCACTTGCAGGCATATCTGAAATATATTTAACAGCAATGCGGCTGTCAGTAGAAACAGTTGAGCTTTTATTAGATGGAACGGACAGTCCCAGAGTCACAATGCAATAATAAAATGCATTAGACTAGGATCTGTGAACATGATCTGACTGCACGGCTGACTTTTGAACGGATCGATCATTGTGATGACTGTGTAATAATAAGGAAATAAATCTGATAGTGTCCGCTACCAATTATTATAATTAACGTTGTGATTTAATCAGATCTAAGAGATCGATTTTGGGGATAAAGAGAGGACAAATACTGCTGACACAACAGCGGTCAAGACTTTAAGACTCTTTATTTTTGCTGAAGGGAGAAGCTAGGCGTTCAGTCTGGTCGTTTTAACGAGGCCGTGCATATTAAAGATATTGCTTTTTGCACGCACTTTCATCAATGTCGTTAAGGTTGGCGATCTCTCGAATTAAGGTAGGGTATTGACAATCGCAAAGTGGGGGCTTTTTGGTAAGATTCTTCTTGCAATTGGAATAGCGTAGCAAGAAGATATGTATAGCAGTAGCATATAGCATATCATTAATTTTTTAAGATAGAGAGGCCAAAGCTCTATGGGATTGAGAAAAAGCGCCCGATACTTCATTAGTGTTACGTGTCAACCAATACGGCGCTCGAACGGTGCTCGCATTGTCTATGTTTTGACATAAATAGTGCAGATTAGGTCGTACGGAGAACAATTCAATTTTTTAACCCACGCAGATGCGAGGTGAAGTCTCTTGATTTCTAAATACGTGTAACCAATTGACTTCCGAATCGCATTGGTGTCCATGGAATTGGGCAAGCTAACTTAACGAGGACATCTGTGATTTCCGAATCATTGGTTATGTGCGATATCGTGAAAAAAAAATGCACCTCTAGTCTCTCGTCTTGAAATTTGATAGAAACATTGGAAGTTTTTGCACGCAGGTTGGTGTTGAAAACGGGCCAAATTGGTCAGAGCATAAGTCCGCAGTATAGTATAAGCCGAACCCAGTTCCGTTTTGCTTAACAAAAATTTGCAGATTTTTGCTCGTTTCTTAAAAATTAGAAATTTTCCTTTACGAAACAGTCTGGTCTTTAGGTGCAAAACTGGAGAAAATCGCAAGCTTGCAATTGATTAGCTTTGAATTTTTCATTTTTTTGAGGCTTTATGTTGGAATCTGAAACTAAGTTGTCATCTCTAAGTAAAGCTGGCCCATTAGTATGGCCAATCAGTATTACAAAATTCAACCCGGCGAAGAGAAAGAAAGGTTCATAGCGGCCTATCCATCAGGACGACAGCTATTTAATTTATTTATTTCTTACGTGTTTTTGTTTTGTTTTATTGTTATGAAAGCTTGCTATGAAAGCTTTCGACCGGCTCGGGCACTTTCTCTGCAAATGCATATGAAAACTATTTTATTAATTATTTAGTTTGTAGACCATCACTAAACTTAGCGGCAAAATGCTAAATGTCTGCTAATGACAATGTTTCCCAATAATTGAACATATCTGTCGAAAGGTTGACGAAAGAATTCTTGCAAATAAAACAATCTCGAAAGGAACTAAACAAAGGTACATTTCCTACAACACGACATTTCAAGCCTTACATCTTCGTAGCTACTTTTTTGTACGCCAGTACTCAGCCATAATTAGTGTACGCAAGTTTCTGAAATATTATTTAAATAACACATAAGATAAATCCTTCAGTAAGAATTCTAAGAATTCTACCTTTCCAATGTCACCGGTGCCAACAGTGAGGTGCAACTGCGTAACTATTTAATAACTAACTTTATGAAAATATTATAAGCAGCGAGAATGCAATTTATTAAAAAAATTATTCAGAATTATTCAGAAACTCATTTGTGCACTTATAAACTCTGTCCGCCTGAGCGGCCGAGTATGCAAGAGTCACGACTAGCAACTCAATAGTCGTGGATTCAAATCTCAAGTGCTGTAGAACTTTTAATAAAGCCGAACGCCTTAGACGCTAGTGCTTTAAGGCTTTAGTCTTGGAATTTACTCACTGGCTAAATTTATAATAATAATAATAATGTAAACCCAAGACAAATTTGATGGGTTTTTGTCTAGCAGAAAATACAATCGGAAATTGCCACCTAGGCTTGTGCAAGACACAAACCTACCATGTATGACTTCTTTTTAGTGCAGTAACAGTAGTAGGCAACGAGCGTCTTTGGTCGCCAGTAGTGTGAATTGTTTGTTTGCTTTAAAAATGAGAGTTCCCCGTGATTTGTGGTTTCCTTTTGCAATTTGCTTTATTTCCTGCGTTTATCCACTGCCTATTATTTCTGCTTTCAACGATTCATTTTACATTGCTGTTTGCTTTCATCCAAAGTTCAATTTACCCTTTGTCTTTATTTACGGAAAGATTTGCATCTGAAATGTTTCGCTTGTATTTAAGTCCCGCAGCTTTTTAGTAAATTTTGCTCGTAAGTGTTTAAAAGTTAGATTTTTAGTTAGAGTTTAACTGAGAAGTAAAACAAAGCAAAACAAAAATAATTTGCAAAGCTTTGCAATCTAATGAAATCCTTCTCCATTGCACTCACGAACCTATTTTTTAGAAAATTCGAGAATAGACTATCAATTAGTATATTTTCTTAATTTAATTGTATATTATATATATGTTTTTAGGTAAGCGCGCTCACCATATACATATATTTTGTTAGAGAAAAGTCGCGTAAATGTTGGATTTTTTTGTTGAGTTTGTGTTAATGGCACTGTCTTTTGATATTTCCACTTCTATTGAGTACAGTTTCTTAGTTAAATCAAGTTTAAGGCACAGGCAGAGCCGACTTGATTACAGGCACCTTAACTCTAACAGGTTCACGAAACGGATCTTGCTTTGATTGAGCTTTATATTGGATTACAACAGTTAGCTTATCTTTGAGTGAGCTATTCTCTTCAATACTAGCTCTAAAATTATCTAGAACCTTACTATTATCTGCCAGCAGCATTTTTAAACAGCTATTGATATTTGCTAATCCCTCTAGACATTTGCCATCTCTTTGCAATTTATCGCTACCGTTTGCATTTTAATTCCGGCATTTATTTAGTCATTGTCTCCGATAGCGTATTTGTATGTCTGCATTGTCTTTGCTCTTTGCAGTTTATCTAATTTCCAAACCGCTCAGTTAAACTTGGAATGACTTTTTCACACTTGTAAGTAACCAAGATTTAATCCACGTCAAAGCAAGTAAATATATCGTATATACCGGATATGTGAATTTGTGAATAAAGCTTATAAAAGCTCACATAGTCTTCTAGTCGTTAGGTAGTCGATGGATGGCATTAATAAAAAGTTCGTTAACGAACTTGTAAAGCTTTTGCAACATTTTACTTACCATAGCTTACCTTGCATACTAAAGTTGATTTTTCCCACTTTCCCTTATTCAATAAATAGTTCATTAAGTTCCTTATCGCAAAGCGAAAAAATTTATTTTATTATCTTTTACATAGAGTTGCATAAAGACAAAATTTACAAACTTGTTTTGCTATACACACATATAAAGTGTAGTTAAGTAATTAAATGTATGTATACATGTACGTTTGTATGCAAGTATGGATTTGGTTGAGTGCGTTAACGCATATATGTGTGTGTGTATATGTGAGCACGGCGAACGTGGATCTACACAACACAACACCGAGCAAGTTCATACGCATATGTAAATAAAAGTTACACCGTTACAGCGGTCATCTTAAAGCTCATTCACTATGCGTATGTATGTGTGTATGTATGTATATATGTATGTGCGCGCGCGCGCGCGTGTGTGTGTGTGTGTGTGTGTGTGAGGGTGTGTGTGCATGCTTGTGTGCTTCCGTTCTTATGAGCGTTGGTATGAGCGATCACTTAAAAGTAAATTATATAAAATTGATCCATATTTAAGTCAACAATGGTGTTTTTCTAGTACTGCTATCGTAACGACATTTAAAGTGCATTAAATACTCGAACAGTTTATTAGTTGGTAACAATATTAAAAAAAAAATTCAATAAAATTTTAATCGCGAGAAATTTCATTGTCCTATATATTAAAATACTCGTAAATTGTTGCTATACATTTAAAGTAATTCGTTTAAATTATTTGGATTGCAATCTATTTTCCGTTTTACTTACATATTATGAAATGAATTCCATTACAGTTTAGATTAATGAGTGCGAAAAGTGATAGGAGAGTTCTCGAAGATGTTGTACGGATTTGTAGCTGACAGATAAGCTTCACACTTTTTCGTTTGCTTCATGTTTTTGGCTCAGTTATATCAAAATTTGTTTTATAATTTATACTTAAATATTCAGGTTATTTTTCCGTTTTTTTTAATTTTTTTTTTTTATAAAAATACAAAGAAATAATAAGAAAAGAAACAAAGAGATGGTGGCTTGCGCCTTGAAAATTACAATTTTCAAGCTTATGCAAGAGAACGCGCAATAAACAAGTGAGAAAATTATATTCGTCCGCGACCGAGGCTTGTCTACATGTCACCGCTGAATGCTAATCAATAACATATAGACTCTGTGAAGTGTCTGCAGCTTCTTTCTGAGTGCTGTAAACGTTCTCATAAAAGTATTCTATAATATTGAGTGGGTGTGGCCGAAGTGCAGCAAAATCACCCATACAATATAAATGCCAATTTTTATCGTATTATCTGCTGTGATTTATAAGTAGCGAGAGAAAAAACCAAATTTTCCTTTTTTTTGTTTTTTAAAGCAGCGATGGTATCAGATTATGTTGTTCTGCCGTCGTGTCCATTAACAGATTGGGCTCAATTACAATGCGAACCTGCACGCAACGGCTTTCAATCTTTATCCCAAATTTGAAAATGTTGGGACACGACCAGGAGAATGTTTGCCACACACATTATACAGACAATTAGATAAATAGGCAAATTAGATAGGAGGGACAGATGGATTTTCTTAAATCGATTCGGAATTTATTGATCAAGAATATAAACAGTTTTTGGGGCCTCTCGAACTTCCTTCTGGGTGTTTCAAACATTTGGACAGAATCAATACTCAGTGATCATTACTCAGTGATGTGTATAAAAATAAAATTAGATACCCTTTGCATCGAATCTTGAATGTCCATCGTATCAAGCAAACGTTAGGTAGTCTGAGAAATGTTGAAGTTTTACGGGGCCAAGATTTATTAATTCATATCCATATCATAATCAATGATTTCTGAGTGCATGCAGGTCGATATATTCTCGGAATTAAACTAACGAAAAGGATCACTTTTTTCGAGGCTTATGCTAATTTTTTTGGCTCTTGCTTTACCCTGTAGTGCTTTTCGACAAACGAAAGATAATTGAAAAGACGTCGAGTACGAAGTTAGAAAAAAAAAATGCATAGCTTTGATCGCCTTGAAAATCCTGTCTCTAGAAAATAAAGAGTTACGACTTGCACGCATTTCGGCCGAACAATTCCAGTTACCTTAATTCATACCGTCGAAGAATGATTTGTATTTTAACTTTTAGCGTCTAAATATATGTATCGGAAGCCCCATAAAGAATGATGTATACCTAATGATCAGCGTAGGATTGCGAGTGGATTTAGCCATGTTCAAAAGTCCGGCTACCTTTCGATAGAAAAATGAAACTTGCAACTCACCACCTCTAATGGGGTTTACCTATAAGTTCCGTGTATCATAAAAATGATGCGATTTGCTAGATGAAAACTCGCTTACCACAACTGAGGATATATGTCGGATTTTTAAATTTTTGCAGATTTTCAATCGAATGATGACGTCAAAAAATGCTCACAGTCCTGTAATGTGCAGAAAAAGATTATGTAATTTACGAAGGAACTAATGCCCGTCTATGAGAAAAAGAGACAAAACCAATAGTTACAGTTAGTCATGCGAGATCCACGACATTTCTTTATTCCCCGTATAGATGTTCACTCATAAATCTTGTCAGCTCGGGTGCCCGACCTTCAACTCAAGCAAAAAACCGAGCTTTCCGAAGGGCTATCGCAAGTTTTTCATTGTTTCTCTCACAAATATCTAAACCATTAAATGATTTTTGAATCAAGAATTCCATTACCAATTATGAGCGTCACGTTTCATCAAATAAACTTTTCATTTCCCTAATAAGGATTAAATTTAAAAAAAATGCCCACTTAGGACAGCTGCTAATTCTTTCGAAGATAAGAAAACTGAAATTTAAAAAAAAAACAGGGAAACTTTAAAAACCATTTAAGCATAAACCGAAATTTGACCTCGAATGCAAGCATTACTTCAAGTCCCCAAATAAAAATATTTTTAAAGTTTTTTTTTTTTTCAATCGGTTTATCAGAACTATCTATCGTTGTAAGAAACTCTAGATCAAACTGGATGATTGCTTTTTAACTAAAGGCAAATTAGGGATCGCCAAACAGATGCATCCAGCAAACTTGCCTTTATCGAGCGCACATCGAATTTTCGACGCCCTTCAAATGAAACCATGCAGCTAATAAATTCACTTTGCTAAAACTATCATATGGAGCTTGAAACTATAATATGTTCCGCATTAAGACAGACAAGTGTAAATTGCATTGCTTTACTAATTACAAGTTGGGTTAATATTTGTACAAAGATTTAAATCTTTCTCGTCTTCAATCTGTTAGTTAGAGTCTTATGATTGGGGTTGGGATCCGTGAGTCTCTTTTGTATGTGTGCATTTAATTTTCTTCTTTACACAACAGTCTACGTGACGAACATTTTAATAAAGAGGACAATTGCACACACAGACATGATTAAACTATTTCGAATCTTACGCATCTGTGAGGCGTTACAAACGAACCATAAATATGATGTGAAGAATATAATAAATTTAACCTAAGATATACGTCAACACTTACATATATATATATATATATATATATATATATCCTCGTTTAGCACATTAAGCCATTGAAGATGAAAATATTAGAGAAACAAAATTCAGACTAATGGGCTTAATTCATTCTCAGATTTAACCTTCAGGTAAGGGACTTAAAGAAGAAATATTGAAGAGTAAGTAAGCTCCATGGTTTAGCCAAAGCCTTAAACAGGTCTCGATCTCAATCGGTGTTCTTTCGAACATGGTTTAAGCAATTCCACTATTCAAGCTAATTATATACATAACATATATTCCGTTGCGTGTTTCTATAATAAAACTATTATGTCTTTCGTAGAGGAAATGGCAACAAATTGTCTTTACTTTTAACCCCAAGAACGATTATTCCAAAAGTTGCTGTAATGAGTATAGTTTTGTGGTTGCCACTCCGCGACATGTCTGACAGGATTGGGAAATGCAGGCAAAAGTATTTCTACTGGTAACTCATATAAAAGTCTTTGATGGCTGTGATAAAAGACAGGTTGTTGATGATGAAAGTTATTGACATACTGATAATTTGATCGGTTTGTTGCATGCTGGTTAACATATTGTTGTTGATGGTGATGATCTTGAGCATCAGTATAATCATTATAACTGTAATGAGGTTGACCAGTAACGCTACTATAATTCATGTTAATAGTCGATACGTATATGTTATCGTCATTGAATGCTGACATTTTATTTGTTGCATTATTGCTGGTGGTGGTGGTGTTGCTGGTGGTGGCCGATTTGGTGGTCCTGTTTTCGTATTCCTTCTTGTCGTTAACATATTTATTAAGTTTTTTTAACTTAGCCGTGGATTTTTCTTTTTCATCAACCGAGGTAACGGCTACAGCAGCAAGCTATGCCGTTACATAGTATTCACGTTGACGTTTTTGGCATTTTTCGCGTGCAATGTAGCATAAAGCTATTGTAATTAAAATCGCTATGGTAACACCCATGCCAATGCTAACCCACATAATCTCTTCATTGATGCCAACGTAGGAGCGTCCTAAAAAAATGAAATAAAAATAGAAGATTTTGTCAACAATACTTGCAAAAAAAGGAAGATAGGAAGGGGAAAAAACAATAAACGAAAGCAGAATGCAAAAATTTATCTTTCGATCGCTTACCTATTCTCTCAACTGTTTTGCTGTATATTAAGTTTGTGCGGATACATATAACACCCAGAAGGACTTAAGACACGTCCACCTTTCCGATTGTACCGATCAAATCAAAATCATTACCTGAATCAGTCTAATTTTATCTCTGCTTCCCTTCATATGAAATTTTTCCATATATATTTGTATCCAAACTACAGATCATAATCTTCGAGATATTTTGATAGGAGTTCGTCACGTCTTTCGGCCCAAGGTCGCACCTTACCGACATTGGGTTAGGCAGACCTTTTGTAGTACTCCTGCCATAACTAATATCGTGAATGTCATAACAGAAAGAAAAAATTTCACTATTCAAAAGGCATTGAGTAATAGCATTCGGTGTAAGTACACCGAATTTGGACTATGTAGGCCTATTTGTTGGATCCAATCCCATATAAAGATTTTGATATCAAAAATTTTGAACTTTTGATTTTTTATGGTTGCAAGTGCTTCGTAAAACTAATTTGATATAAAACGTAATCCTATCGAATTTGCACCAAGTAGGTCTATTTTTTGTGCACCAACGTGTATACGAATTTCATTTTTAATATTTTGTAATAAAAATTTGTGCACAACAATAATTTTATGCTACACTTAACTGGACTAAATCTGAATCTCAAGGACCTATTTCAGGTCGGTATTAATTCTCAGCCCTTTAGCAGCAAAAATTTAATCTTTAATATTTTATTGCTCCTTAGTAGCAATGTATGGAATTTCGAACTTAGCGATCACATAGGTTTACGTTTTAAATCTCACCATATATAGCGGCTTATTATTATTTTACCTCATTTTTTGCCCTTATATGGTAATAAAATCTTATCTTGTAGATTTTTATGACGGGAACAACTGAAAATAATAAAATCTTTAACGCGTAACTTAAATTTTCAAAATTTGAACCACGTCAGCTGGATCTTTAGAGCATTCTGTAACATGAGATCTCTCATAAAAAGTACGTCTTTACATAAAAATTATGTTCAATTTTTGTCGTTTTATAATGAAAATGGACGACTAATTATATTGGGCGAGGTGACTTAGCGTCCACTTTGCTCGACTATAGCGTTCTCATTTGCGAATGATAACAATGGACAAGCGGTTGTGGGTTTATTGATTCCCACCTGTAAGGTAAACAAGGGATATAGAATGGAAGTATTTGTACGTCAAAGAAACTCTCGAAAGTATTTTTTGACACTTTCACTTCAGCACAAATTTTTTTGAAAGCCCAGTAACAAGTAAAAATGGTATACTTTTCATATACAATGGATTAGAAAAGTACACAGGTTAAGTTAAGAATGCGACCATTGTGGTTTTTTGCATCGGTAGGAACGTTCCAATATATTATATATTAAAAATTCACATCAGATTACAAGTCTTATCTATATATTTATCGCCAGATTATGGCTTATATAGTTAAATTGCACAATCGCGACCAAGATGAACGTAATTTTTCCTTTGGTTCTATTATACACTTAGCCGACAGATTGATATATATTAACTCATTTAGGTTGTGGCGTTTCAAAAAAATTTAGATTCGATTAAGCCATTGCCACCTTTGCTTCATTTTCCAGCATTGTACATAAAAAATTTCTTGAACAATATTCTTGACGTTCTTGAATTTTAAAGATACATTAGCTACAATCGGGCAGCCCTTTCGCCCATGGCTTGTTACATTTTCTTCAGTCGTACAAGTTTTGATCGCACCTATCGACAACCAAGTTCGATTCCTTTTAATTCGATATATACGTGCTAGACAAAAAAAATTTTATGTTCTCATTGAACCTTTTCTTTTGACAAATTTCATGGGAGAAAAAAAGTAAAAGAACGTGCAGATTAAGGTAGCTAAATGATCTCAGACCAATCGCGCTGATAAAAAGTACTTTTCATTTTAATAAATAAGAAGTTGCATAGGTGCGTTGTAAAAAAGCATTTTGCATATTCATCATTCATAAATCTAAAATAACTACGAGTTAAAGTTAACGCATTACGCCTTTCCTAGCAAAAAAAAGTAAGTGTACGATTTTGAAAATGATGGAATTGAGACATGAATTAGCCTGATTGTTGTAAGTACAGCATTTCGCAGTTTCCATCCTAACCTATGTTTTGTGCTTGTAAATTTGTTCTGCTCTTTAATTAATTTGTTGCCTCTTCATCAGGATCCATCCTTTCATCGAAGTGGACAAGTGTGCATATCTATGATGGGTCAATCCCATTTTGCTTGCTGGTGAATATTACTAGAGTCAATTTGCAAATAGAATGTTAAGGTAAGTATACTCGCATTTTATTTGAGTAAATATATAGCAAATGTTTTGTTTATCAATTCTGCAAAAAATTTTATCTAATTAAATTTGACCTTGACAAAAAATGCATAGAAGTAAAACGTAAAGAAATGTTTTACAATAATTATCGTTCGTTGCTACACTAAAATTAACTTGAATTATTAATTTGTATAAGAGTAATTTGTAGGAAATTGCAATTAATTAGCTCACTAACTGATTCCCGAATTTCCTATAAAAAGTGTTGAAATTTCTCGTTTCGTTAGCAATATCAGTAAAAGTATAGTTCATATTACATATACTCCATATATACATTTCTGGAGAGGAAGTATCAAAAATAATATGAAAATTTGTAAGTTTCGTGGAGAAATTGTTTAAAGTCCAACCAATAGTTTGTGTTTCTATTTATTGCAGACTTGTTATTATTATTTACGGTACAATCTATACCGACTTATGTTCAAGCGTACGCACGAGGACTTAGATACGTGCCGGATTGCACCTTTTATAAAGATGGAACTTTGCTGCCTGATCTTACGAGCTGTTCCAATTATTTCATCTGCGTTGATGAAGAAGCGGTACAACAAAAATGTCCTCCTGGGTACTACTTCGATCGATCTGCAAGCACTTGCGGTCTAGCTATTATGGTTAAATGTGACGACGATTACAATGGGAAGACTGGTATGGGGCAGAGCTTGTTTGGCAGTTATTTCCCGCATAACTTGATTCCAAATATTTTTTTATGGAAAAAATACTCACATGGTGACGATAGTGTAATGGATTCATCTTCCGAAACGACGACGTGCAAGCCAAATACACCAAGCACTATTACTACCACTTGTAAGCCAACCACACCAAGCACTATTACTACCACTTGTGAGCCAACCACACCAAGCACTATTACTACCACTTGTGA